ACTTCAATTAAATAATTCGTAAATTAATTAGTTAGTACGGTTATTCGGAACACTATACCTAATTGAAACACTATTATATTATCCTTTTTCCCTCTCGAACTATAACAATTTCAGTAGAAATTGGCATAGGACTTAGATATTATTTTCATATTCCTCTTATATTTGTTTAATTATCTCTCCCAACCCTTGTTCGCGTTTATTAGCTAATTACCCTATTAGTGAAAAACGTGTAACAATATATATTAAATAGTGTTCATCTACAAAAATGCTATCTTAAATACAGTTAGCATATTATAACTTTTTATCAAATTGGATAATTCGAAATATTAAAATAATTAAAATTCTTTTTTGAATATTTGAATAGTCACTATATACTAACTCTTTTTTCTTTAGATAATAAACATACCTCATTTATTTAAGAAAAAGTAAAAATATGATATTTTAAAAAATAAGTATCTGATAAAAATGCTCATTTAAATAATAATTTTAATTACAGAATTGATATCAATGAGAATAATAATTAAATAAAAGTTATAAATAGAAAAACTTTATTTCACTATTTTATTATTTTTGAACTCTATATTAAGAATTTTTGATTATTCATTATTTAAGTTTTATTCATCTTTATAAGCTTAAACATAATATTTTTCAATAAAATAGTATTATATAAATCAATCTTGAAAACTTTTTAAAAAATATTAATACAGAAAATACCTGTTAATAAATTTTTTATTAAAAGTATAGAAGTTTAAGAAGATTAATAAGATTAAAAAAGATAAAAAGCAGATAAAGAATACTTTAAAAGTTATAGCAAAAGATCTTGAAAATAAGAGAGCTCTGTTACTAAATATATTTCTAAAGTTATATCTCCAAGTTATACTTTAATATATTAATTTTTTTGATAGAAAATATTTGAGAATAAATATAGTAATAATAATTAATAATATTCTTAATATTATTTCAAAAATATCCAAATATAAATGAATAGCTATATTAAATTTTGAATGTTTTTGATAATTAAAATGCAGTAAATATATTAAAAGATTATAAGCTCATTTTTGAATATAATTTTGCTTTCTTAAAATTTATATTAATTAATAGATAACAAATTATAGTTTTTATATTAAAATTATTATTTCTTTAAAAATAAAGATATTGTTATTCAAATAAAATTTTTTATCTAATTTAATATGATTGAGATATTTTAAAAATATATTAATAAAAATATTCTTTTTGACTTATTTTTATTAATTATTGATGAATTATAATTGAGAAAATATCATAATATATTAAATAATATTTTTATATAGAATATTAAAGCTATTAATATCAATATTTAATAGTAAAAATATAAAAATAGAGATATGACCAGAATTATTTTCTGAAAAAAGCTTTATATATATTATATATAATAAATATATATGTTATATATAATAAATATATATTTTATTATATAATGATATGCTAATTTATTGAAAATTTAAATAAAATAATAATAATTATATTTTATTATATAATGATATGCTAATTTATTGAAAATTTAAATAAAATAATAATAATTATAATTAAGTTATTATCTAAAATTAACAAGCATATTATTTTCATTAATTCAGAAATTATTATAATTAATAAAGTAATATAACAGTGAAAGAACAAAGATTAAATAATTTATAATTAATAGAATTTATTAAAAATTTTAAAGATTTTCTGTGATAATTTGTATGCAAACTAACTTATTATCAAAAATAAATATAGAGATAAAGAGAAAAATTAAAAAAAAGATATAATAAATTAAAATAAAATAAAATAAAATAATTATTAAAAAATAACAGAATTTATTAAGATTATCTAATAAAATAAAAAGATTAATTGAACTTATTAAGATTGCCAATAAAGAAAATAAATAACAGAACTTATTATAATCTAAAATAATAAAACTAAAACAAACAAAAATATTAAAGTCAACAGCTTATTAGATGAAGGAGCATCCATTACTTGGAGTCAAGATTTGAAAATGAAAAAGAAAATAATAGTGTATTCACAAGTATAATATTACAGGGAAGGATTTTGTTATTTTTATTAGACCAGAATATGAGAGTTTCTAATAATAAGAGACTCTTCTTTTATACATTTTCAATAGTTTCTTTAATTTACATAATTAATAATAATTCTAAATTATACCACTATTTACAAACAATACTAAATAATACTAAAAGAGAACAAAACTTAAAAATTAAATGAGAAATTACACAAGATAAAATGCAAGATAAAATTAATATGAATTTGAACGGTTAAAGCTAAGCAAAATCATAAAGGCACAGTAAAAAGAAAGATTCTAAAGAAAATCGAATAATATGAGATAAATCTTAAGGGATAACAATATTAAAGATAAAGACAAAAATAGTAATGAGAATAAAGATACAAATGAGAAATACAATATAATTGGTTAAATATAATTGGTTAAATATAATTGGTTAAAGATAATAAAATTTGAATTAATATTTTTGTTGGGGATAAGATATATTAATAGCAATAAGAGAAGAAAAATAAAAGTAAAGAATGGGGAGAAAGTAAAGATAAATGTTAAAGTATATAAAAAAATGTAATTTGTTGATAATTAATTTAATTATCAATCAAAAGGAAAATGATATTCGCGAAAATGATTGTGTAATGTCAAATAAATACAAAACTTGCTTGTTTAATATGAATATCATTGGGCGAAATTATGATACACCATAATTTATTTTTATGACATCATAAAACTTATTGAATTACGAAATTTTTGTTGAAAATGGTAACAATATCATAAATGAGATTCCGAAAATAATACCTCGTAACGGTCTTCTATTGTTATTTCTATAAAAAGCATTATATATGGAACTTAGCTTGAAATCCAGATGTAAACAATGTGATTATCGTTATCAAATGTAAATTATCGAATTTAATGATATTCCAGTCGTTAATATAAATAACAATAATATAAGAAAAAACAGAACATATATGTAGAATCGAAGAAATTTAAATACGAGAACAGAACAGACGAACAGAACACAAATAAAACGAAAAAATAAAACAAATAAAACGAAAAAAAACGAATCGAATATGGATTATAGCACAAACTGTATTGGAAAAGTTTAGGGTAGGGTGGGAATATTCAAGTTTATCTAAATACATGTACATGTACAATGTAGCATAGCGATAGATCATAAAAAGGAATAAAATACGTAGTACAGAACAGGGTAGTCAGCGAATATCGGTATCGGTATGTACGTAGTGGTTAGCCACACATCGGTAACGATGTAGATCATATGAGTGATACAACATTATCACAAAGGATTGATATCGATATCGGTATTATTGATGTTTGACTGTAATAATTCCAAACCAAATTTTTCTATAAGTTCTGGAAAATCAAAGAATCGACTTGTGTAAAACGCATCTTTGTGAGTTTCTTGTGATGCGTTTTTCTGTATTTGAAAATTTTCACATCTCCTTTCTTCAGCAATTCTAAATTCCTCACTGATTCCGGTTTGTGCTGGATTGTCACATATATCGGTTATCCAATCGCTAAATGTTTCATTCAATTCAATTGCTGTTGGTCTTTTTTTTGAATCAAATGCCCAACATCTTTTCATCAAATCAGAAAAACATTTTGGAGTGTTTTGAATTTCTTTTGGTCTGACTCCATTGTAAATATCCATTGCTAATACAGCATCATGTGCTCTCTCAGCAAATGGTTTTTGTCCAGCTGCAAGCGACCACATAATAATACCAAAACTATAAATATCAGCCTCTTTTGATTGTTTCTCCCCAAGAAGAATCTCTGGTGCAATATAGGGAATAACACCATATATTTTATTATATGGAGTATCAACTGGTCCATGAATTCCTATATCAGTTACTCTTCCATCAGTCGAGATTGATTCATCTTCAATCATTATATTTCCACCGTGTAAATTTCCATGATAGAGATTAGATCGATGAATGTTTTCCAAACCAGCAGTAATACCCCATAATAAATCAATTTTATCTTTCCAGCTAATATCTTTGACATTTTCAATGTAATGATTTAAATCTCCATTTTCATAAAATCTCATCACAAATATGAAAAATCCATCTGGATCTTTTGAAATACCAAAGGTATCAGCTACACTGCCTGATTGGAGACAATGATGGTATTTTCGTAACTAACGTAAAAGAAAACATTTTGTTAATAATTTTTAAAATTTGTTTATATCAAATGAGAAATAACAATTTACATTTTCCAAGAATTGCTTGCTCAAGTTTTGAGAGTTATTAAGTTTCTTCAGCGCTACTTTCATTGGTCCACCCCGAGACCAAGCTTGAGAGTTTTCATTCCAATCCCATTTAGGTCCCTCTAACCAGATAGCAGAATAGATTTTACTAAATGTTCCAGCTTTGTGGAATTCAATCAGTTCAAATTGATCGTAAGCAATATATTCAAGATAGTCGCCGCTTATATTTGCTTCTGTTTGACTTTTTTGTATAATTAAATCAAGTTGCAAATTGCCTGTTGTCCAACTTGGATATTTTTCCTTAAACCAAGTAGTTTCACATGGTTGGCACCATGCAAAATTAGTCCTAAATTTTCCACAATCTAAGCATTTTTTATGAATAATTCGTGTTTCGTTACGAAATTCACCCGGTTGAAGTAGAATTGAATCCAATTCTCCATCGCTTTCTTCGTTATTAGAATACTCGATTCCTTCGTCGTTTAACTCTCTATTTTCAAGCATTCTATCACCGATTAGGCGCGCATAATACGTACATGTACATGTATATACGTATTCAACATAACGATAATGTGACATAAATATATTTGTGCATGTAATACAAAACACAAAAATGAATATCAATATATAACCTTGTTCTCGCTCTAACCCTAACCCTAGCTTGTTATATCTATAATTGTATACGTAATGTATTTGTCATGCGCTTTATATTACATGCCCAAATAAGTAATGCCATTAAAATTGTACCTGGAAAATCGTACCATACATATTCAGCAATCGAATCCGTATACACTCCGATATGGGGTTGTTGATAAGAGAATACAATACGTAATATAATACAGTCAAAACTCTAAATAACGATCCCTTGTAGCGAGATTTGGTTATTATAAACTTTGAAAAGTTCACAACTAATAAAAAATATTTGTTTATAACTATTCTCTATTAGCGCTCATTATAGCGATTTTTGAGCTTGAACCGATCCATCATTATATATAGAGTTTGACCGTAAATTATATACCGAGTATCATTAAATTTTTCATTAATACATATTCGGATACAAAACAGGGGGAGGTATAGTGCAACATACGGTAATGTTTTCATTTGACCAACCAGATGACCAAGTGACAACACTGAGTTAAGATTGCTAGTTTTACTATGAATTGTCATAGTCATAGAATGAGGGCACCATAATCCATCATATTAAAGTTTGAGTTATATGATCAGTGAAATTTTGCTACGATAATTCTGGGCAAACTTAATTAATTGGATAAAATTAAGATATTTTTGGCACAAATCATATTGCATACTTGATGACTTAGTGTCTTTCATTGTATGATTATATAAATGCAAACATAAACGAATAAATTTTATTGCTTACATGTTTTTGTATATAAGTGACGGTAACTGAAAAAGAGAGCTTCTATACTTTTTTATCACATACTAAAATAAGAATATAAAAATAAATTACATGTGATTGGTTAATTGTTTTCCTCATGATTTTTTTTTGGTCCAATAATAAATATACCGTACCGTGACATCACACCAAGAATTTTTATTGAATTGACTAATAAATTGCTATTGGTTCTTGCAAAAAATAGCAAAATACTACAAGTTTTCTTAATTATATTATTTAGATGTTAAACTATTATTCTATGCTATGAAACCAATTTTATTTTAAACAATTATTTAAAGAGCAAAAAACTAAAATTTTCTAAGAAATTCTACAAATATCGTGAATTTATTATAAAAATATTATTTCGAGTAAGATTATTAATTTAACTATAGTGTTGTTACTGGAAGCACACTGGAAAGTCATTGGAAGTAAAATTAATATTGATTGGAATGCCACCGTTATCAAAAAATCTATTATAAGTATAAACTAATTATCAATATGTTATTCTTATACTATATTGTATAAATTTATCCAGTTAATTTTAATGAATTATTAATTTTGACTCATTGGAATGTTCCAGTAGCAACACTGGTACTGCATTTTTGCACTTTTAATAATAATGATAATATACCTCCGCATTTTAATAATAGCTTTCAAAGTTTATTAGAACAAACCGATATAATTCTGGTTAGCATTATCGTAATCTAAATCAACATTATAATGTGAGCCAAATTATGATCGTAGCTATTGTAAAAAGCGGCAAATTCATAACGATAAACTCCCTTGCTGCATCAAATATTGATGGCTTACGTATTGTGTGTGTAAATCATTAGAATCGATTTATCGTTATGCATAACAGTGACGTACGTACATGTAATATGCACAATCAATGGGAGTCACCATGTTATTACGCCCACAATGATGACATTTGTCTTGACTTTCATTTGTGTGTTAAAAGAAGAGTGCATCGATTTCTGTGCATAAATAAAAGGCGCTTTTTTAATACAGCAAATGCTTTTGTAGGCGTAATATCAAATTTCTTATGCATGTTAACATAATCGAAGTTCTATGGATAGATATACACGGTTCTCTATTACCATTTAACTTGTCAATGTGTATGAAGATAGAAAATAAAAGGTGGCTATTCTGTAAACGTGTTATTAAATACTTGAAAAAAAGATATTTGAACCAAATACTTGTTCAGGATACTTAATTAATTGCTTTTTTCTTTGCAAGTACAAATTCATTTTTTGATGTGTATGTGACAATGTAAAGTATGTATGTAATTGAATATACTCTAAAGAGTTAAATATGATTAGAATATTAAAACTTAATGGTAATAGTTAAACTAATAAATAAAGAAATAGAGCTTTCGGTCAACTCGAAACAGTTAATAATTACCTACTAGAACGTGTTCTTAGACTAAAAAATATATAGGGTTGTTATCGGTTCGGTTTGTTTAGTTTGGTTTAAAGCCCCTTGGTTTGGTTTAACTATAGTTTATTGTATGCAGTTCAAACGAGGTGTGATTTTTATATTATTGTTATTATATAATTAATCTCGTTATCGTTTATTAGCTTGGTAAAATGGTAATTATCAATATAATATGGTCCAGAACTCTTAAATCGACAAGATGTTTCATGTTAAAATTCTATCATCTTCTTAACTAAGAAGTAAGCCAAAATTTAACCGGTATTATTAATATTACCGGTCAAATTTTGGATTTACTTAATTAAGAAGTTGATAGAATTTTAACATGAAACATCTTGTCGATTTAAGAGTTCTGGACCATATTATAAAAGGCTTCTTTTAACATTAATACATCAAATGTATATATTTATTTTATATGTCTCATATCGATTAGTGAAATAAGTTAGTTATATTTAATTTATTTGTTCATTTATATGACGGTGCTTATATTTAGTGAATCTCATCTTTTTTATAGTTTGATTTTTTTAAGCGTAATAAAAAGGAGCTCATAATTGCAATTGTCAACTACATAAATTATAATTAATTTACGTGAGCTACAAATTAAATAATTCTGAGAATTCTAACTGAAACTCATAAAATCCGTGTGTAGAAAAATTGGTATAGTTAATTTATCTATATTGGTTTTTGTTTTGAATTAGATATTTATTTAAAATAATTTATTGATTATCGCTGTTTCATTTAAAATTCTAAAGAAATACATGTAATAAAAATTAATTTTTAGTAAAAACGATATGCATAATGATAATTCAGTTCACTCTCGATAAATGCAATCTCTTTTAAAAATGAATTTGTAGTATCAGTTCCAAGATTACATACCGGTATGTATTAAGAGAAGAGTAAAATTAATTTAAAAGAGATTGCACTTATCGAGATTCGATTTAGATACATAATAATATTTCTTATGTATCGCTATCGTCGTCGTAAATAACAAAGGCACTTCTTTTTCATGTGAAATGAATAATCGAATCCCAATAATCGATTTTTACATAAAAATAATTATAAAAAATACGATTTGGGATCAACGTGGTCCTTCAGAGGAAGGATTAAATTCGTTACACAAATCTCTCATATTCAGCCCCCGTTGGTAATACGTACATGTATAAAGTAAATGTTAAAATTTTCATACGCATCTACGTAGTTGGAATTACGTACGTAACATGTACGATCTCCAAATATATCGCTATTTTGAAAAACTTAACGTTGAGTACCAGTACATACGATTTTCAAACACAAACGGAAGTGAACGTCGACTTCCACAAATATTTTAAATAAAAACACTAATATAAACACTAATAAACTCAAAGATGGCATCTAAAACTATGATTGTAGTACATGTACTAGTAGATACCTGCATTATAATATAATAAATTTTAGACCACAGGTGACATATACACGCTAATGTAAACGCTAATGCATGGCATACATGTATGCATATAGTTTATTTTTGTATCAGGTTAATTCCGGTTTAATGTACGTACATCGATAATTTTTTGTACATGTAACGGTAAATGCAAAAAAAATGCTATCGTTATTTACTAACCACTATATCGAAGTTAGTTACTTAGAATTATACCGGAAAAGTTTTCAGAGACCGAAATCATACTACGGATAATTTTTGGGACAGCAAGGTTACATAGTTTTTTCGATATCCGAAATCAAGCTAAAACTCTAAGCAACTGCATTCTTGCCGACCCAACGATTTTTTTCGCGTTAGAATATCTTTTCCATCCTACCACCTTTCTATCAAGGCTATCCATTTTTCTGCAACGTATAATCAGAAATCAGACAAATAATCACTCATAATGCGTTGTATCTCGAACCAAAGATTGATCAAATACTATCTATCGCCGATTTTCGTTCCGTGCTATGCTTTGTATATAAGATTAATAATTTTTGTTATCAACAGTACAAGATTGGCGATCTGTTTCTTTACTGAATAGATGCAAGGAAAATAAATCTGCGTCTCATATAAATGTTAGATTGCGAAACACTCCGCGAATCATCATCAAACATGATATCCGAATTAGATTTGCTAAAACAACAGGTTACCGATATTAGGGCTGAGAATACCGAGGTTAAGGCTGAGAATGCGAAGCTAAGACGGGCTATGGAAGAGAATACTCAGCTCAAAGCCGAAGTAGCAAAATTAAGGCGCGACTTCGAAGAGATCAAAAAACAAACCCGAGTCATTACTAATAAACAAAATGCGTCATCTTTTGCAGAGCAAAACCACTTACGTGGCACAGAAGATATTTCACCAACTTCATCAACCGAGAACCACTCTGGAACTGCTAATATATCTAGCTCTGACATAACCCACCAGAATTGTGTGGACAAATCATAATTAGACATAATCAATGATTTTACCGACAACAATGGGTTGATTAGATTGAGGGATATTTATTTATATCTAATTCCTGTGCCGATATCTAGGGATATTGTTAGGCTAATAACAAGAGAAAGAGAGAAAGAGAGACTCAAATGAAATTATGTGAGTAAAGAGAATTGGGTTTTCTTTATTTTTAATTGGCAGTGATATTTAATGAATAATGTTTATTATTAATAATGATCCTTAAACTATTCTACACAAAGCGCTTTATAATCAATCAATATGCCATTT